CTTTCATCATGGTTCACGTTTCCAGCTAAGTGCTGGAGACTAGATATTTTCTTGGCTGCTTGGGTTTTTGCTAAAGTGATAGGTGTAGGGGCCTTTTTCTTCCGGCAGCAGGTGGGCTGGGCTGATGAAATTGTCCCCTTTGTCTGAGTTCGAAAATTAAGCCCCAAAATGCTTCGAAAGGGCAGCAAGGCCTTAAGAAGTATTTTGGTTACCTTCACCAACCAAAACAGCAGCAACTTACAGATAACTTCTTCAGGCTTGCAGAGAAACTTTTGGGCTTGGCATGAGAGGCATGTAGCATGGGAGCAAAATTATCATGGGTTTAGCACTTTATGAGAGAGAGAGAAAATTATCATGGGTTTAGCACTTTATGAGAGAGAGAGAGAGAGAGAGTTGTGGGTTTCGATGAAGGTCAGGGGTTCTAATGGAAGGGAAAAGAGGTTCTAAGGAGGATTGGGGGAGAGTTTTGGGTGATTTTTGTAGCTTCCGGCAGCTTGACAGTGACTCTATCCAAGCTTCTATCAATCTGCCAAAACAGGGGAAGCAAAGGAAGATGGGCAAGGATGGCACGAAAATTGCTAAGCTTGCAAGTGAGAGAGAAAGCTTGCTCTCTGAAGGCTGTGGGTTGTGTTGTGTTGGGTAGAAGAGGCCCTATTTATAGTTGCTGAGGTTTGTTCTTCTCCAAGAAACCCTAATGGTTTCTTCCCAACCTAGCTAAGCTTTCTTCTTCCTTTCTTCTCTTCCTTCTTGACTTACCTCATGGTGGCAAAGTCAGCTACAAAATCAGAGATTTTGGGTGCTCCAGGCTTCTTCCAGCGGCTACCTCAGAGGGGAACTTCCCTTTTTCACCCATCTTCTTTCTCCTCTTTCTTCCTCTTTCCATGGCCAAATCTGATGAAGGAAAGAAAGTGGGTGCGCCTGTTGGTTTAAGGGAAGGCATCCTCCCTTGCGTGCCAAAATCCCTTGGTTTCTTGAATTCTTGCACTTGGAACTTGTTCCTTAGCCCCCCAGCAGCCACTCACGTGTAGATTTCCAAAGTTCCTTCGTGGTTTTGTCTCCAAGCTGAGTGCCAAGGCTTATGCTGGTTTTTGTTCTAATTATGTTGGCTTTTAAGACAACCACATGATCTATCCAATGGATGAGATGGCTTTGTCAAATGTTGGGCTTTTGGTTAGTTTGTTCTAATTGGATCAATGGGCTATTTTGGCTAGTTTATTCTAATTGGGTCAATGGGCTATTTTGGTTAGCTTATTCTAATTGGATTAATGGGCTATTTTGGCTAGTTTATTCTAATTGGGTCAATGGGCTATTTTGGTTAGCTTATTCTAATTGGATTAATGGGCCATTTTGGTTGAAGCAATGGTCCATCTCCTCTCTTGTGCTTACCCACGTTTGGGCCTAAGAAAATGGGCTTGAGTCCCGATGCCCCCAAGCGACCCGAGACTTCCATTTCTTGACCCATCAATGGGCCCCATGACAACTTGTTACCATCCATACCACAACCCACTCACGCAAGCCCCGGGCATTCGAGTGGCTTGGGCCCACTTAAGCTTGTTGTGGGATAATAATTTCTCGCTTGGCATGGCATGTCGCTTGGCGTGCTTTTTAAGTATGACGCTTGATAGGATGATTGATTGGCACAAATTTGCAGTGCTAAATGCATCCTTATAATTTTAATCTCAGCTTCTATCATGATAGATTTCTATTTTGGCGCGGCATGTAGGATATGGCTCGTGCATGGCAGACTTTTGTGCACTTCAAATTGAATAATATGTCGTCTTGGGCCGGGAATTTACTCGGGCCCAACCATGGATTTTTTGGGCCTCAACAATAGGTTAGCCCATTAAGAGAATGGGCTAATTTCCTAGGGTATTTGGCTCCCTTTTCTCTCTTTTTTATTCTTACCCGCATATTTGGGCTCAAGAAATGGGCTTAAGTTTTGGGGCTCCCAAGGGGCCCAAAACTTCCATTTCTCGGCTCATCAATGGGCCTCATGAAAGCTTGTTACCATCCATACCACAACCCACTCAGCAAGCCCCGAGCATTTGAGTGGCTTGGGCCCACTTAAGCTTGTAGCGTGGTTGGGTGTGAAATAATAATTTCCCACTTAGCATGGCGTGTCGCTTGGCATGCTTGAATTTTGTCGCCTTTAAAAGGGATATGATGCTTGACTGGATAATTAGCTTGGGCTCGTAGAGCCAGTGTATTTTATAGGCTATAGCATGGCAAATTGCATATTTATTTGGCATGGCACGTGATCGTGGCTCGTGCAAGCGTGCATGACGAATTTCGCGTGCTCTAAACCGGGTCTTTTCTTAATAAGGTGTCGCACTGGGCCGGAAATTTATTTGGACCCAATCCTGAATTTTTTGGGCCTCAACACTATGCAACTCCTATAAATAAGGATTTCTAAGCATGACTCGGTTGATGAGGGGACAAATAATTCTTGGGTCTTTGCTTCTTTTTTTTTCTTCTTTCTATTAAACAATCAATTAATTAATGTTTATCTGTATGACGTGACGATTGAATGAGAAGACAAATAAAGAAGGTTGACTTCTAGGCAAATGGATAAATATGTGATTAATAAGTGAGTGAGATAATATTGAAGAAGATCTTAATTTGATTGGCCCATCATATATATCATTACTCATTCGTAGAACGAAACTTCGTGTACCACATGTGCTGTCACTTTCATTAATTGGAGTTGTTTTATGGTGAGTATATAAGGAGATTTCTAATCGTATATCATGGTGAGAACTCCTTTAATTAACGGTAAAAAATCTTCCATGTAAGTAAAAACCCTTTTGTCAATATTGATGATCTATTCGATGATGCAATATATGAATGTAACAAAGAGAAAAGTTTCTCTAAAATTAGAAATGCAATTAGTAATAGGGAGTTATTCACTACACGAAGTACAAACAATGGTAATATCTATACTTGGAGTGGCCATGGTTGTGCTTCGAGTGATGGTGTTCGTGTTTGGAGTAGTAGTGCATTAGATGCGTGTGCTTGGAGTTTGTACGCGTGATTGGAATGACATTGTTGTGCCAAGAGCGATAGTGTACTAGTTCAACGACTCAAGTTACCATCCAGGTAATCAATGTACTAGTTAGACGATGTGAGAATGCGTTTAGATGACGCTAAAGAAAAACTGGTTGATGTGGATGCATGAGAGAATGACATTGGAGACACCCGGACACAATTGATTCGTGGTTGCAATCATACAATTGGAATGTAAACAAGGCACAAAGAAAAGAGGTAGATTCTCGGAAAAAGTTAGTGGTGGTGCAGTGTTTTTCATGTTGTTTGTGTTTTGGACAATGATAATGCGCATTGATAAAATGTATATGATATTTTGATCCTTATTATTGTTTTTATGAAATCAAGTCCACTGCCTTGGTCAATACGGCTGTTTGGGGCTGTTGAAAATCACGGGCAGATTTGAAGCTATGTCAAGAGATTTCGGCCGGGCTATGTGAAGAAAGAGCAGCTGGAGGTTTAAAGGTGGATGAGTTATTGAAACTTGGAGATCAATATTTAAGTTCTTTGTGGTTGGGTGAATGCGGCTGAACTTTGGTTAGTCTCCAAAATTGGGGCTGAAAAGTTTGTGAGGAAAAAACTGATTTTATATACATACATGAATGAATGGGTGCAAGCAAGGTACGGCCAAACTTGGAGCTTTTGAATTGATTGGGATGAGGGATTTATCCTATTATATATATATATATATATATATATATATATATTATATATATATCCACCTTGAATTCCATTTGAGACTTGGAATTTTGTTGATGTGGCAAATACATAGGCAAATAAGTGGGCTCCGTTGAGATCAACATTGGACTCTAGGGGTAAAATAAGAATTAAGCCTTTAAGTTAGCCTGCCAGCTAATCCATGTGGTAGGATGAAAAACATGGGTATAGACACCTGTGCAATCACATTCACACAAAGGGACAAAATGTAGAAGTGATATGGAAAGAAAAAGAAAGGTAGATAGATATCCAACAGCATTCAGTTAACTTTTGTTTTTAAAAAGTTGACATTTATCTATCTGGCTCCCTCCCTTCATCACCTCCGGCACATCATCCATCTGGTCCTCCACCGCGGACCTTGTGCATCAGTCAATATATATTTTGTTTTTTTTTTAAAGCATACAACTTTCAATTGCTCTAAAAACCATCTTGAGAATGGACCTCCGACTCAACACACAAAATCTATCTTTCTATCCTGTACTTTTCAATTCATAGTCTAGGATTTTATCTTTCAAGTTCTTTAGATTATCTAAGTTCTTCGTTTTCCTAGTGTAAGCTTACATTCTTGCAATTTAATTTCAATTGTCTTTACATTCAAATTTAATTCAAGTCTTTATCGCTTTAATCTATTTTATCGCATTTACATTTCTGCCATTTCATTTATCGCACTTACATTTCTGTCATTTCTTTTATTGCATTTACATTCAATACACTTATCACAAAAATCCTAAAAATAGTCATACAAAGCTCAATCATCCTTGACCTCAAGGAGGAAAAAGAACCTAGGCCAAGAGGAGGTTCCTTGCTTGGTCGATCAATCGTTCGATTAAGAAGTCAGAAGCGCAAAACACTCACACAATCTTTCCATCCAAGCCATCAAGTGGTTTGGTGGTGGCACGCCTACGCATCTCAAGAGAAGAAGGACCAAAAACTCCTTCCGTCGGCCTACTCGGCCGAAAAGAGGGAAACAACGGCCAAAGGCTAATCCCAATAATATTGTCCAAAGAGCCATAATAGTTGCTTTCAAGCCATTACAAGTTGCAATATCAATTCATGGTTGCTTTCAGTAAAATTGGAACACTAAATATAATCCAATCAATAAATAAAAAAATATGTTGATGCAAATTCTAAAATTTAATCATTAAATGACTGCGAATCACCATTAATCATAATCTTTCTACGAAAGAACATGGCACGGTGTCCACTACCCACACTTTAAAAGGTGACAAACAAATTGCCTTTCGCGCACTCGGAAAATTCAGCGAAATAGCTGTCCGCGAAAGCGACTCGTAACTTCCCCGAGAGGCTTGAGGCTGATCCGAATTTTTACTTGCCTTTCTATAAGTATCTATTTCTTTGCAATTTATTTCCCCCAATTTCACGCGGTTTTGTGAATTTGTTCTCTCTCTCTCTCTCTCTCTCTCTCTCTCTCTCTCGCTCTCGCTTCCTTTCTGTTAGATTTGCAGACGAACGCTTCCAGTTCCGAGAGGTACATAGCCGGAATTCTCACTGTAATTTTACATGCCTTGTAGTTCTAACTACTGTAATTGTCTGATTTTGCCTGCTTCTTCTAGCTCTCGATTTTATATAGTGTACTGCGCTTGGAGCTTTACATGAACTGCCGAGTGAAACTTGTGTGATTCGATTTGACTTTGTATTTGTATCAACCATTGCTCGGCAGATTTGCTTTAGAAATTTTTAGGTTTCTTATTTTGTAATTGTTGATGTTTATATAGGATTGAGTTGCATACAAACCCAGTTTTATGTTTTTTTTTTGTTCGAAGTTTTATGGCTTTGAATTGTAGATATGAATTGCTTTTTGCTTTGATCTCTGAGATATATGTTAGTTTTATCATAGAGTTCGCCTTTAACGCTTTACTTAATTGGCTTTTGTTCTCTTGTGTTGGTTTGTTTTCTTTATTCTCTGTTACTTTATATGGTAGCTTTGCATTATTTATTAAAGATACTTATAAATATTGCCTCTACGGTCTCCTGTACACACATAAGACATACACGCGCCTCGCCAGCTTGAATGGGTTATAAAAGATATTCATTGAAAAGAAAAAAGAACTAAAAGACTACCAAGTTCTTGTTATTTTTAATTGTAGATATACAGTTGCTACAACCCATTTTAGCATCATAATTGAGTTGTTTAAGGCTTAGGTTTGTAAGAACCCAACTCCGCTTGACCAATTCAGCGTCGAAGCAGTTAGCCAATTGTTCCATTTGGCAGCTCATCCATGTTATCCAGTAGTTTATATGTTTTTCTGACGGCCTATGAAGATTTCATCATATTTGCTTCTTTATCTTGTTACTTGTGCACTTGTCAAAGGTTTCATCTAGTATTATACAGTGACACAATATATCTTATTCTTTAAGCAAGTGTTGCGTGTATAAACCTTTAAGTTGAAATTCAAATGTAAAATGGTTATTGCCATTTATTTTAAAAAATATTGTAATCCTTTTCTTCTAAAACAAATTAAAATTTTCAACTCTAACTCTGACCAAGAAACTAGATAATGTTAACTATACTTTTATGAATTAAATGGTCAGGTTCATTCTCATGGTTTTGCTCATCGAAATTGGGGTTGACATCAACTATTTCCTTTTGTGGTTATAACAATAATTTGAGGATAATTGTTTAATGTTCTTTAATTCCCATTCCCTTCTGGGGTGGTAGTTGATGCGGCAGCAATGATATGAGGTACCACCCTCAGTTTGCTCCTTAATCTAGGGTCAAAATTTTCATATTATTATGTTTTTATGGTTACTTACTTGAGGATAAATTATTTGGAATACATTGTTCAACGCTTTTTCTTGACTATTCCTACTACATTTCTCATTGAATTGGTTATAGAGGTCTGAGATACTACCTGGGTAAACTTTGTTTAGTTCAGTGACCTCATTTCATATGTATGCATAAATCCACACACGCAAACAAACATACACACCCGTGCATCTTGGTATATATGTTTTGACGATGTCCTCATCACTTTGTGATTAATATATTCTATTTTGACTTGTATAAAAAGCAGTGTCTGTGTTTTTACTTAACAAATACGGGTGGTTCCAAATTCTTTCTAGATATTGTAATGCACATACAACTGACCGTCTGTTCAAGTTTGAAGAAGCATACGTTTCATTTGATTTTATATAATCTATTTTGAATTTCTTGGGTAATCCATTAGTACTTAAGTTTGATTCAAAAGCATGTCGGTGATCCTGGTGAACAGATGGGGCTGTGATATACATTTATTTTTGTTTATTGTTGACATTAATCAGAAAATGGGACAAGCTCTTGGTTGTGTTCAAGTGGACCAGTCTACTGTTGCTATCAGAGAAACTTTTGGGAAGTTTGATGATGTGCTTGACCCTGGTTGTCACTGTTTGCCTTGGTGTTTGGGTAGCCAGATAGCTGGTCATCTCTCTTTACGTGTGCAGCAATTGGATGTTCGCTGTGAAACAAAGACAAAGGTTTGTTTCATATTGATTCTCTTTCAACATGAAGATTTTGCTATAACCTTCTAAGTACACACAGTAAGCACTGCATACGCACAGTAGGAGTGTCTCTTAGTATTACTGTAACAAATTAGGAAGAATATGTTATTGTGTGAGAGTTATGTGTAGGGTCGGATCTAGGAATTAGAAGTGCAATCTGTCAGCCAATTCTGATCTATGGTATCACTTCAGGATAACGTTTTTGTTACTGTGGTTGCATCTGTTCAATACCGAGCTTTAGCTGAGAAGGCTTCAGATGCCTTTTACAAGCTCAGCAATACCAGAGGGCAGATCCAATCTTATGTCTTTGATGGTATGGATTTGTTACCGAAATTCGTAATTACTTTCATAAGTTTGTGGGTTTTTGTTTGTCGTTTTTTTCCTTCTAACAATCAAGATATCCATTTATAGCTAGTTCAATTGTGTCATGTATCATCATTTATCCCAGGGTAGCAAATAGTGCAGCTTGTGAACGATTGTGATAAGTTTTCTGTAAGTTTTGGTGGGGTTTTGATTTAAATTTTCTTTTAGATCTGATTTTGAACTTCTAAAACATAAATTTGCTTGGAAACAGAGATGGAAAAACAAAAAGAAGCTTTCCTTTTTTTTGCATTTGTATCGTTTGAATTCTGGTGTAGAATATTTCTTAGCTTGAGGTTTTGCTTTGAAATTCTAGCTAATTCTTGTTCTTGTGTCATTGTACCTTGGAGAGGAATACAGTGTGGTTTTTTTAGATTGTAGCTTGCAGATAGAATTTACAAAATTCTATTTTTCATTTCAGTTATCAGGGCAAGTGTTCCGAAGTTGGATCTAGATTCAACCTTTGAGCAGAAGAATGACATAGCCAAAGCTGTTGAAGAAGAACTTGAAAAGGTGTGGATCTGTATGCCTTGTTTGGTTTAGAATTCCCTAAGAAACATCTTGGTAATTTATTGTGTATATGCAGGCCATGTCACATTATGGGTTTGAGATAGTTCAAACACTAATTGTGGATATCGAACCAGATGAGCATGTGAAGAGAGCAATGAATGAGATAAATGCAGGTACAATATGTACATATGATATATGGAATGCAATGTGTTTTTTACTCCTTTTCTATAGGCTATTTTTTTCCGCATGCCATTCCAAGTAAAGATTCATTTATTTAGAAACTTTACCAAGTGCTAATGATTATTGAGCCCTGTTGCATTTGGTAAATAGAAGTATTAGGAAGGTTTGCTCTTGTATGGCCTTCGACTCCTATCATCCAAATAGCATCAGTGTGTCTTAAAACAGAAAGATGGTACCCATTCTTGAGATGCAGTATGCAGTAGGATTCTCCTCCATTTCACCCCTGGAACCAGAAAAGTATTGAGACCCGAAGTCTCATGGGTCTCTTTGGAATATTGATTCCTTTTTGTAGGACACAAACAGAATGACATTTGCAGTAAAATGTCTTGCTTAGAATAATTAATTTTGTTTTTAAAAATGAAGTTTTCTTAAGCTATAACAGCTGCAGAATGACTAATATATGCATGTTTTCCAATAACCAACAGCTGCAAGGATGAGGTTGGCTGCAACTGAGAAAGCTGAAGCAGAGAAGATATTGCAGATTAAGCGAGCTGAGGGAGAGGCAGAGTCCAAATATCTGTCAGGGCTTGGAATAGCAAGGCAGCGCCAGGCCATTGTGGATGGGCTGAGAGACAGTGTGCTGGCCTTCTCTGAGAATGTGCCGGGGACATCATCAAAGGATGTCATGGACATGGTTCTGGTGACCCAGTACTTCGACACAATGAAGGAGATCGGTGCATCCTCAAAGTCCAATTCGGTTTTCATCCCACACGGCCCCGGTGCTGTGAGAGACATTGCTTCACAGATACGAGATGGCCTCCTTCAAGCAAATCCACCTCAGGTGTAATGTCATTACATGGTACGAAGTTGGAGGCCGGCTCTTTAAGCTTCCGATTATGCAGGACTGAAGTTTGTGTGTGCTTTAGGATCTAAGAATGTGGTTTCTTTAGTATTTGACATATAATGTATATAATTGTAGGTGATTTCTCCATGCTTGTTGATACCTGGCCTCTAAAGGGTTTGAACTTTATATAGCATAGAAGATGCGATTCAATATATTTGGTTGGTTTTTGTTAGAGCGTGTTTCCTATTTGAATTGTCTTGCTCTAATCGTGTTTAAAATTTGCTAGCTTTTTTCGCCTTTCGATTTCGTGACTAGAGTTTCTTGAAAAAAAATATTTTTTTGAAAAAAATTGAAGAAAAAGAGTACCATCGTCCACGCCCACTGACCTTACCCCCCTACCTTCCCCTTCTGTATTTTTGGAAAAAATTGAAGAAAAAGAGTAAACCTAATGCCAACCCCTTTCATCTCCTCCTTTCCTCCTCCCACTCCCCCATGACCACCATCCTTTACTCCCAGACCAATCCCCTACCCCCACAGACCCTTCCCCCCACCTCCCCCTTCTGTATTTTCATCCCCCGCCCCCAACCCCTCCTGACCCCCACCCATAGAACCCAGCCTACACCTGCACAGTGAGTGAGAGAGAGAGAGAGAGAGAGAGAGAGATTGAGTTGCATGCAAACCCAGTTTTATGATTTTTTTTGTTCGAAGTTTTATGGCTTTGAATTGTGGATATGAATTGCTTTTTGCATTGATCTCTGAGACATATGTTAGTTTTATCATAGAGTTCGCCTTTAACGCTTTACTTAATTGGCTTTTGTTCTCGTGTTGGTTTGTTTTCTTTATTCTCTGTTACTTTATATGGTTGCTTTGCATTATTTATTAAAGATACTTATAAATATTGCCTCTATGGTCTCCTGTACACACACAAGACATACACGCGCCTCGCCAGCTTGAATGGGTTATAAAAGATATTCATTGAAAAGAAAAAAGAACTAAAAGACTACCAAGTTCGTGTTATTTTTAATTGTAGATATACAGTTGCTACAACCCATTTTAGCTTCATAATTGAGTTGTTTAAGGCTTAGGTTTGTAAGAACCCAACTCCGCTTGACCAATTCAGCGTCGAAGCAGTTAGCCAATTGTTCCATTTGGCAGCTCATCCATGTTATCCAGTAGTTTATATATGTTTTTCTGACGGCCAATGAAGATTTCATCATATTTGCTTCCTTATCTTGTTATTCGTGCACTTGTCAAAGGTTGCTTCTAGTATTATACAGTGACACAATATATCTTATTTTTTAAGCAAGTGTTGCGTGTATAAACCTTCTTTAAGTTGAAAACAATATTGTAATCCTTTTCTTCTAAAACAAATTAAAATTTTCAACTCTAACTCTGACCAAGAAACTAGATAATGTTAACTATACTACTTTATGAATTAAATGGTCAGGTTCATTCTCATGGTTTTGCTCATCGAAATTGGGGTTGACATCAACTATTTCCTTTTGTGGTTACAACAATAATTTGAGGTCTGAGATACTACCTGGGTAAACTTTGTTTAGTTCAGTGACCTCATTACATACGTATGCATAAATCCACACACGCAAACAAACGTGCACACCCGTGCATCTTTGTCCTCATCACTTTGTGAGTGTATAAAAAGCAGTGTCTGTCTAGGTTTTTTATTTAACAAATACGGGTTTCAAATTCTTTCTAGATATTGGAATGCACATACAACTGACCTTCTGTTCAAGTTTGAAGAAGCATATGTTTCATTTGACTTTATATAATCTGTTTTGACTTTCTTGGGTAATCCATTAGTACTTAAGTTTGATTCAAAAGCATGTAGGTGATCCTGGTGAACAGATGGGGCTTTGATAAACATTTATTTTTGTTTATTGTTGACATTTTGCTTTCGAGCCTTGTGTTTCTTTGAAAAATTCATAGAGTTTATGACAGGCCTTCTGGGTAGCCTATATAGCTATTAAGTATTTATTGGCAACGCAATTCAAAAACTGCATTTACAAATTACCATTGGATAACCTTGATTTTACTGTTCTTGGCAGAATCCGAAAATGGGACAAGCTCTTGGTTGTGTTCAAGTGGACCAGTCTACTGTTGCTATCAGAGAAACTTTTGGGAAGTTTGATGATGTGCTTGACCCTGGTTGTCACTGTTTGCCTTGGTGTTTGGGTAGCCAGATAGCTGGTCATCTCTCTTTACGTGTGCAGCAATTGGATGTTCGCTGTGAAACAAAGACAAAGGTTTGTTTCATATAGATTCTCTTTCAACATGAAGATTTTGCTATAACCTTCTAAGTACACACAGTAGGAGCGTCTCTTAGCATTACTATGTTATTGTGTGAGAGTTATGTGTAGGGTCTGATCTAGGAATTAGAAGTGCAATCCATCTGCCAATTCTGATCTATGGTATCACTTCAGGATAACGTTTTTGTTACTGTGGTTGCATCTATTCAATACCGAGCTTTAGCTAAGAAGGCTTCAGATGCCTTTTACAAGCTCAGCAATACCAGAGGGCAGATCCAATCTTATGTCTTTGATGGTATGGATTTGTTACTGAAATTCGTAATTACTTTCATGAGTTTGTGGGTTTTTGTTTGTCGTTTTTTTCCTTCTAACAATCGAGATATCCATTTATAGCTAGTTCAATTGTGTCATGATTCATCATTTATCCCAGGGTAGCAAATAGTGCAGCTTGTGAACGATTGTGATAAGTTTTCTGTAAGTTTTGGTGGGGTTTTCATTTAATTTTTCTTTTAGATCTGATTTTGAACTTCTAAAACATAAATTTGCTTGGAAACAGAGATGGAAAAACAAAAAGAAGCTTTCCTTTTTTTTGCATTTGTATCGTTTGAATTCTGGTGTAGAATATTTCTTAGCTTGAGGTTTTGCTTTGAAATTCTAGCTAATTCTTGTTCTTGTGTCATTGTACCTTGGAGAGGAATACAGTGTGGTTTTTTTAGATTGTAGCTTGCAGATAGAATTTACAAAATTCTATTTTTCATTTCAGTTATCAGGGCAAGTGTTCCGAAGTTGGATCTAGATTCAACCTTTGAGCAGAAGAATGACATAGCCAAAGCTGTTGAAGAAGAACTTGAAAAGGTGTGGATCTGTATGCTTTGTTTGGTTTAGAATTCCCTTGGTAATTTATTGTGTATATGCAGGCCATGTCACATTATGGGTTTGAGATAGTTCAAACACTGATTGTGGATATCGAACCAGATGAGCATGTGAAGAGAGCAATGAATGAGATAAATGCAGGTACAATATGTACATATGATACATGGAATGCACTGTTTTTTTGACTCCTTTTCTGTAGGCTATTTTTTTTCGCATGCCATTCCAAGTAAAGATATTCATTTATTTAGAAACTTTACCAAGTGCTAATGAAAATTGAGCCCTGTTGCATTTAGTAAATAAAAGGATTAGGAAGGTTTGCTCTTATACGGCTTTCGACTTCTATCATCCAAATAGCATCAGTGTGTGTAAAACAGAAAGATGGTAACCATTCTTGGGATGCAGTATGCAGTAGGAGTCTCCTGCATTGCACCCCTGGAACCAGAAAAGTATTGAGACCGGGAAGTCTCATGGGTCTCTTTGGAATATTGATTCCCTTTTGTAGGACACAAACAGAATGACATTTGCAGTAAAGTGTCTTGCTTAGAATAATTAAGTTTGTTTTTTAAAATGAAGTTTTCTCAAGTTATAACGGCTGCAGAATGACTAATATATGCATGTTTTCCAATAACCAATAGCTGCAAGGATGAGGTTGGCTGCAACTGAGAAAGCTGAAGCAGAGAAGATAATGCAGATTAAGCGGGCTGAGGGAGAGGCAGAGTCCAAATATCTGTCAGGGCTTGGAATAGCAAGGCAGCGCCAGGCCATTGTGGACGGGCTGAGAGACAGTGTGCTGGCCTTCTCCGAGAATGTGCCGGGGACATCATCAAAGGATGTCATGGACATGGTTCTGGTGACCCAGTACTTCGACACAATGAAGGAGATCGGTGCATCCTCAAAGTCCAATTCGGTTTTCATCCCACACGGCCCCGGTGCTGTGAGAGACATTGCTTCACAGATACGAGATGGCCTCCTTCAAGCAAATCCACCTCAGGTGTAATGTCAATACATGGTACGAAGTTGGAGGCCGGCTCTTTAAGCTTCCGATTAGTGCTATTATGCAGGACTGAAGTTTGTGTGTGCTTTCACCAAAAAAAGAAGTTTGTGTGTGCTTTAGGATCTCAGATTGTGGTTTCTTTTGTATTTGACATATAACGTATATAATATGTAGGTGATTTCTCCATGCTTTGTTGATACCTGGCCTTTAAAGGGTTTGAACTTTATATAGTATAGAAGAAGCGATTCAATATATTTGGTTGGTTTTTGTTGGTGCGTGTTTCCTATTTGAATTGTCTTGCTCGAATTGTGTTTAAAATTTGCTAGCTTTTTTTGCCTTTCGATTTCGTGCCTAGAGTTTCTTGAACTTCTAAATTTGTTCAGTAAATCCTTTTAATCTACTTACGTATAAAAAATTACGTTCTTATTCTGTTTTTTTTATAACTATTCCATTTGTTCAAAAAAGTTAGGAAAAAACCTAATCACATCCATCATTAAATATACAAATGCCACGTTTTGATCTCTCATTTTCTAACGAGGCGAGTGGTAGGAAAGAATTCTTGCAAATAAGAAATTAAATTTTTGGTACCTGATAATTATTCAACAGAAATATTTTCTTCAATTTTTTATTTTACAACGGTGAGAATGCAACACTTCCCAGTTGTTGGAGAAATTTTTGTAGGTATCCGGTATATGGTGTACCCACCAATAAGAATAAGACACCTGTAATAATTTATTTTTAGCCTTTTAACTATTTCTTCCGTTAGCATTCTTCTATTAGCCTTCTTTCGTTAGCCTTTTAAGGGAAATAGGCACCCTCCCAAGGCACTCGACTTGCTGGACAATCTTATTTTGTGAATAATACCGGGAAGCTTATATTTTTGCAGAAGTTAGCATTTATTTGATGTCAGTCCTTCGAAGCATACTGATGCTAAGTTTCGTTTTCTTTTTAAAAAAATCCACACTCATTTCCAGCCACTTAGTAAACTTAAATTGTATTTGCACCAGAGCTAGTTGCATTTGATTGAAACTGAGAGAACAATCCAAAGAAGCACTTTGCATAAATTATCAGAAGACTACTTCCAATCATTTGAATAAAAAATTGAATGAAAAATTCGAACACAGCAATAGAATCTACAAGAACAAGAAGGCAACCATAGACCCACAAGGATAGGCATGCATAGCTTCAATGGCTGCAGCTCTGCTCAAATCAACAAGAGCATACCCATTCTCCTTTGAATCCGAACGGGTGGACCCAACAATTTGTTTCACTTTCCCCTGAAACCAAATCAACATAACAAGTACAGAAAATCAACAAATAAGAAGATGAGAAGACTAATAACCATACCACTATTGGAGCAAACCCCTAAGAATCCAAAACCAGTGCTCTCTCCAATCCCAAACCCAACACTTCCAAGCGCACCCAAAATCCCATCAACTCCTCACCCAACCCTCACTCTCTCCCCAACTTATAACCACACCCACCTCCTCAACTTCCTCAATTCTCTCTTTTGTTCAGATTGTGCTTTGAATTTTAACAAGGGGGAGTTCGATAAATTTGGAGAACAAAAGAGAGAATTGAGAAATAAAAATGGGAAGACAGCAAAAGCCTAATGGAGAGAGAGTTAAAAGGCTAACGGAAGAAGGCTAACAGAAGAATGCTAATGGAAGAAATAGTTAAAAGGCTAAAAATAAATTATTACAGGTGTCTTATTCTTATTGGTGGGTACCTACAAAAATTTCTCCAGTTGTTGGGACGAGATCCGTTATTTTCTTAAAATAAGCTCAACGTCAAAACCTAACAAAAAAACCCAAAACACTCAAAACCAAAACGTAATACCGGAAATTAGTATATTAAGTAAACTCAAAAATAGGTTAGTTGGTAATAGTGAGTGCAGTTTTCCTTTTACCATTTCTCCTGTGCCCACTTATCACCCATATAACTTTTTGACATTTGTCCTTCCATTTAACTCTAAGTTAACAGTGTTAAGTTTAATTAAATTAAAAAATGAAAACTAAAAATTGAAGGAAAAAAAAGACCCAAGAGCGAACCCCCCCCCACCCCCCACCCCCACCACCCCCAATCCTCAGCAACCCCAAACCAGCCGGCAGCAACCCCATCTCCTTCTCACCATCGGCAAAGCCTCCTTTTCTCTACCTCTGCCCCCCTTCTCTCTCTCTCTCTCTCTCCCCCCACCCCCCTTTTGATTTCTCTGCGTCCCTCTTGATCTCCCTCTCTTTCAAAGCAGAGCAGTGCTCGATTGACGTTTCCTTGGGACAAATATTTCATGGAAGCACTTTATCTATATGGGTTTAAGAGTTTCTTGAAGCAAATGGACACAGTGAGATGGCGGGTCTGATGAATGGGTGTGGTGGTGGAGATTATATATAACTTGCGGTCCATCATCCCATGAAGCCATAAACAAACCCTTGGCGGATTTGATGAACTTGGTCTGGAGCAGCAAAAACAAAGGCAAGGTTTTTGCTGAATAGATGAGGCAAGGAAATGGAGTTTGTTTTTTTCAATAAAGTTAACAGTGTTAAATTTATGTTAAGTCATGTAACACATATAAAAAAATATAAGAAGAGAAATATGGGGGCACAGGGGAAATGGTAAAAGGAAAATAGCACTCGATAATAATAGGGTGTTTTTTTGAATTTGTTTATAGAAATTAAATGGTATAGTATTTATCTATAACAATAATACTAAGAATAAATATATTACTAAATATTTTTAATGGAAATACTTGCCTACTAGAGATGGTATTAGTAGACACATGAACAAAAGTTTAAATTATCATTTTTTGTACAATTCTTTGTACGAGTATCAAGTTTAAATGATCAAGACTGTTCCTCAAGAAAAGAAAACAGCACGGGAGAAAAAACAAAATTCTTTTTTTCAGCAACGTGTCACAAAACAGCACCAAAAAGGCGAATATGCCAAACACAACCTCCCCTACGATTCTCGAGGTTATAAAAGCACCAAGACCTTTCTTTATATCAACGGCCAGAAAAGCCGTACCTCTACCGAACCCAAGATCCAACGGTCCAAATCTGTCCTCCCAACAAACACTGATTCTAGGGTTTCTTCGATTATACACATTATGCTTCTTCTCTAGTCTGTCTTTCTATCAACAGCTGAGCCAAACACAAATACCCCTCTCACTTTCTCTACAATTTTCCTTTCGAATTTTCTCGAGAAACAATCATGGTGAAGGGCCCCGGTCTCTACTTGGATATCGGCAAGAAAGCCAGAGGTTCATCCTTTTCATTTTTCTGTTAATTTATTTTTCAGACAAATTGTATTTTCCAATTTTTATCGATATTTTTCTTTTTCGCTGATAAATATGTATTTTTATTTTTCCCCCCAGATCTTCTTTACAAGGATTACCAAAGCGACCACAAGTTCACCGTTACCACTTACACTTCTACTGGAGTTGTAAGCTTCTAGTTTCTTTTTATTTTTTATTTTTATTCCGGTTTTGATGTTTTCATTTTTATCCGCGAAAGGAATATGCATCTCATTGTTCGAATTTTTTTCTGTTTGGTTGCTGAGAAAGCAGTTGAAACTAGAATAAGAAATAAATAATATACTGAGCTCCATGCTTTATTTTACTGTATCGAATAGTTTAAAGCTCCTGATGTGTACGGCTGAGCTAAGTTGAGTTTGACCATCAAAATAAAATACTTACAGTTAAATAATATTCTTACATTTTCTGGTCAAACAAATGGAAGGTCTAGTTGTGTGTTGAATCTAGAGGACTGAATGATTGTTTTTAAGCTAAATGATAAATAACCTGTTGGATCGTGGGTAATCTGGAAAAGAGAATTATAATGTATGTTGTACTGGCTTCTGGATGCTTGTAGTGTATGATTTACATCTAAGTTTTATATCTTTTCATTTTATCTGACTTTGCTTTCTTCTGTTATTTTGATTCATTGTACTTCTCAAGGCAATCAGTTCAACTGGAATTAGGAAGGGTGACCTCTATCTGGGAGATGTGAGCACTCAGCTGAAGAACAAGAACATCACAACTGATGTAAAAGTTGACACTGACTCTAATGTAAGTCAAAACAGCTTATCACATGTCTGTTTAATTTGCCCCTCTCCATTGAGCATCTTTTCTTCTCGTGTAAATAAATCAATGTGTTAACCAGAAACCCCGGGGCCTTGAATTTACAATTGCTTGGTTCACTTGTTGGATGGATGGTACAATGAATTTGTTTGGGTTTGTTTGCTAATGTACATGGAAGCGATGCTCCATGTAATTAAACATAAAAAATTGTTATATAAAATTTCCGAAGCAGACTTTGTTTTATCATTTTAAGTGCTCTGTTTTTTTCCCCAACTACTAGATAAGACCATAAACACACTAGGGCTGCGTTTGGTTCATGGGAAAGCAGGCCTGGGGATGGGAAATCAATTGCTGTCCCATGTTTGGTAAGTCCATGCATGGGAAATGGTTGCCTGTCACATGGGAAAATAGGGGGAAAATGTAACCCTCCTCCCCCCTTGGGTTTCATTTTCCCTTCCCATGGGAAACTTTGGGAAAATGGGCCAGCATTAAATGCACATTTTTCATGACCATTTTGACCCGTCAACAATTTAGAATTACAATATATCATTAAATGCATTCTTTTTTCAGAATTACAATTTAGAATTACAATATACAAACTTTGTTTTCCATTCCTACTCAAAACAAACATGGGAAAGGAAATAAAGTGATATCTCCTGGTTACTTTCCCAACATTACCAAACATGGGAAAGGAATCTTCCATTTTCCATCCCTTGGGAAATGACATGGGAAGTGATTTCCCCTCAAATCCGTTCTGTGAACCAAACGGGGCCTAGATGGTGTTATTTCAGCCGTACAGGCCAAAATTGTTATGAATTTCGTTACTCATTGCATAAGGTGCTGTTAGTATTGTGTCAATTGAAATGCATTGATTTTTCCTTCTTGTATGGCTCTTATAATTATGTTCTTATCTTCTATGATTAATTGGTTGTAGCCAGAGTTATGCCTTTAAATGTTTGTATTCTCCTTTTTTTTTTGGCATGTGTAAATTTCATGTGATGAACAGGAAAAAAAGTTATGTGAATGAAGTAATTTGTTTATCTGAATATGAAGTTCATACTATGATATTTTGACTTATAATTGCCTGTTACATGCAGCTTCGCACAACCATTACCATTGATGAGCCTGCACCTGGTCTAAAGGCAATCTTTAGCTTTATTGTACCTGACCAGAGATCTGGCAAGGTAAGAATCATAGTGTCCGTTTCTTGACTTATTAGTTAATGTTGTTGAAGATGTGAACATTTTTGCTCTATTGCTGCATGTCATATTGGGTTTGATGTGCATGAGAATCATTGATTTATACCTGACCAGAGATCTGGCAAGGTAAGAATCATAGTGTCCGTTTCTTGACTTATTAGTTAATGTTGTTGAAGATGTGAACATTTTTGCTCTATTGCTGCATGTCATATTGGGTTTGATGTGCATGAGAATCATTGATTTATGGTCCAAACTTGGGTCTTTTGTTAAACAGGTGGAGCTCCAATATCAGCATGAGTATGCTGGAATAAGTACTAGCATTGGGTTGACTGCCAATCCGATTGTTAACTTTTCTGGTGTTGTTGGGAACAATCTTCTCTCGCTTGGAACAGATCTTTCCTTTGATACAGCCTCTGGAAACTTCACAAAATGGAATGCAGGGTTGAATTTCACCCATACTGATCTCATTGCTTCCCTTATACTGTGAGTACTTCTTTTGATGCCCAAACAAAAAACTGAAAGAGATTTATTTCAGTTGAGTGGTGCTTATTGCATGTGTATTTCAGGCTGATGTGCTTATTGCATGTGTAATGTTCATGCTGATGGGCTTCTTTGTGTGATCTACTGATATTGTTGATGCATACAGGAATGATAAAGCCGACACTGTTACTGCCTCCTACTACCACACTGTAAGTCCACTCACCAACACTGCTGTTGGCGCGGAGCTCTCCCATAGCTTTTCAAGCAATGAAAACAGTCTCACAATTGGAACTCAGCATGCGCTTGACCCCCTAACCACAGTGAAGGGTCGTGTGAATAACTATGGCAGGGCAAGTGCTCTCATCCAGCATGAGTGGCGCCCCAAATCTTTCTTCACCATCTCAGGAGAGGTTGATACCCGGGCAATCGAAAAGAGTGCAAAGATCGGTTTGGCCTTGGCACTCAAGCCATAGGCTTAAGCGGGTATCCGGTGCAAATGGGAAGGTGGGTTCAGTTTTTGCATGGTGGAGGGCAATAAGGGTAGTTAGATAGAAGAAGAATTTTCTCTGATGAACTTGTGGTCCTATTGTGGTGCTATTCGTTTTTCATTTCATATCTTGGTGGTAATGGGTTGTATAAAATAATTGGCACGGACCGATATCATATTCCTTCCGAATTTCCGGCCATCCCAAAGTCAATGGAGGGTGTACTTCGAAGTTTAAACACAATTTTAATGGGGAGTTTCGTCACCTGATAGTTTCATGCATCCCAAAGTTCTACCCTCCGAGTCTTAATATTTCTCCTCTGTCTGCAATTACATAATGACGTTGCAGATTCAGGATTAATTTGAAGCAAGGGTTCAGTTTTGTTTATGTGTTACTTAGATGGAACACAAAGAGCTGTTTCAACCCTTTCCGATATCACAATCAAGTTTCAGGTTTTTATGCAAAGACGATCCGACTTTTTTGGTTAATTTGTCTTTGAATCTCGCAATCTGATTCTTAAGTGCACAAATCTCTTAACGATACAAAAAATGCCTTACGCATGTGTACATGGACAAAAGGTTCCCATGACCCGACCTTAGTGAAAGGGAAAAAAAGACTAAAGAATATCCAATGATACTATTTGCGTGAACGTAAATATTTCACAGTACATAATGATGTTCATTTTCTTTCTTGTGGAGAGCATATCAATCAAGTGGCGATGAAAATATCTGGCATGACTTTTATCTATAAAAAAAATAAAATTCTTATGAAGCAGTTATTCATATGATTTTTTCTTTTCTCTCTTTTGCACGCATTTGAAATGTGCTTCAAAAAGTACCAATGATGTGTTAGTTGAATTGGCCCGGAACTTTGGTATGCGCTCAAGTGGTTTTGAGACTCTTGAGTTCTAGCCCTTATGGTAACCGTGTGTGTAAGTATTCTCTATTTATCTTTCTAACTCTTTTTTAAAAAAAAAGCTTCAAAAAGTGTAATTATTTTTTGACACGGAAAAACATAAATGCTTTAATAATTCAATCCACAGAAAAAAACAAGACGCTCTTAAATATCTATTTGACCCGTAGTCGAAGTCGGCACGCTTGCTCACCAAAAAGCAAAGGACTGGGCGTGCTTTATTCTTTTATTTATTTATTTTATGGGGTTTCCAAATTTGGGATGTTCTTGCTCACCAAAAAGAAAAAAGGTTACCCAAGGGGTTTGGTCTAGTGGATATCCTGGCTAGGCCTGCAAGTGGGCGAATGTTAGCTGGCCTCAGTGAGGTCCAGCGTTCGAATCCCACTTTGTGAAAAACACCCCCTGGGGAGAGTCAAATCCGTTCAGGTCTACGACTCGGAGTGGTTGCTCACTTGCTATTACCAAAAAAAGAAAAGAAAAAAGGTTGGGCTTGTTTAAATTTTTTAAATTTATTTATTTTAGAATTTTTGTCATTGAAAATAAAAATATCACTTCAAAAATTATGAGCTAGTTTATATTATGCATCTTATTCGCATACAGTCAGCGTGGTTTTTACAGCAACGTTGATAAATAATATAAAATTTTAAAAAATGGAAAAAGCTAAATAAATAGAGTTCCACCTGTCTCGTTCCTTCATTAATAATGTCCATAAATTTCGTTTCATTTCCATAGTCTCAGTGGCGTGGCTCAAACAATGTCGACGGTTAGAATAGAGCCTCTTCTCCACTACTATCGCAGAGAAAAACCCAGCTACCGTCCTCCATCGAAGTCATTCAAGCTCAGCTCTTTGAATGCTTTGCCTAAGAAGCTGGTCTACAATGGCAGGAGCTTCTGCAACTTCGAGCCTCCCACTCCCAGGGCTCTCACTCTCAGAGCTGCCTCTACCGACGCAGCTACAGTCGAGACCTTTGAATCGACCGACCTCTTCTTCAAGGAGACCTTTCCTCTCAAGCGGACTGAAGTGGTTTGAGCTTTTCCTTTCTGGGTCGTCGTCTTTTTCTGTTGGTTTGTCGAATCTGTTTGTATTGTATTCAGGGAAAAGAAACTATTGAGATTGAATTTGAAAATAAGCAAGAAAAGAGACTTTTGAGCTTGAATTTGAAGCTCTGCAATTTCTCTTGATGATCAGTGTTTTCGAAGCTGGAAACTTGTAGTGGTGTTCGTTTATTTCTTATAAATTTTACTCTTTCCTCTGTTTTCTCGGCTACCATACAGAGCGTCAAGTTTTATTTCTGAGTTTTAGCGATGTCTTATTTAGTCTACTTGAACTTGTAGGTGGAGGGGAAGATCTTTGTCAGATTAGATCATGGGAAGAAAGCCAAGAATTGGATGCTGACCGTTGGTTGTAGTCTTCCTGGAAAATGGGTTCTTCACTGGGGAGTTTCTTATGTTGACGACGTTGGCAGGTAAAGCTTCCACTTAATGTTAGATTGCAATTACTCTCTCTCTCTCTCTCTCTCTCTCTCTCTCTCTCTCTCTCCATGGTGTTATACTAATCTCATAATAACTTAAAGAATGCAAATGTATTTTTTTGCAGTGAATGGGATCAACCTCCTAGTGAAATGAGGCCACCTGGTTCAATTCCCATCAAGGTATGTATTGGGTTCTTAAGTTTGATTGTGGAGCTCCGTTCAATATGAATTTGAAATACATGTGGAATTTCAGGACTATGCAATAGATACACCCTTGAATAAATCAGCGTCGCCCGTAGGAGGTGATCAATCTCATGAAGTGAAGATTGATGTTAAACCCAACAGTGCAATTGCAGCGATAAATTTTGTTCTCAAGGTTCGAATTTTCAACTATTAACAGTTGAGAATTTCGTCCCTTTATGTTAGATATGCTGGCTGTTATAATGTTATGCATCTTTTAGTGAGAATTTCTGCCCTTGTTGGGGGGTTTTGGTGGTGCAGGATGAAGAAACTGGTGCTTTTTATCAGCACAGAGGGAGAGATTTTAGAGTGCCTCTTGTGGACTACCTGCAAGAGGATGACAATGTGGTTGGAGCAAAATGGGGCTTGGGCGCATGGCCAGGTTGTCAAAGCCATTCTATTCTCTGGTCTACTTGATTTATTTTGTACGTAATACTGTTGGATCTTTTATGCTTTCCAACGATTTGCAGCCTGAACCAATTTGTGATTTTCCAAGAAATGGTGTAACAAAATCCTGGAGGAGTAATGAGTGTCCTAGTAAAACATAAGAGTGAAACTGACTCCCTTGTTTCTATACATCTTTAAAAAATAAATTGAGGACAGGACCCACTTTCAAAACAGACTAGTAAGGTCAATATGTATAAATGATTCCTTGTCTAGTTATTCTTGTAGTTATATACTGAAATGGAAATCAGGTGTTGTTTAGTAGCATGAATTCTTCCTAAGTTTATCTAGCGTGAATTTATGTCAATGCCAATAGTTGAGCCAAGTGGCTGTCTCGCAGTCACTGCTACTAAGTTGTATAGGCCAAACATGCCCACTCTTGTCGGCTGTGGAGGTGGGTTATGGGTGGTTGGTTTATGATCTTCAGTTTTTCTCCAGAGTTATCCAACTTGAACTGAAAGAAAGTTGCTCGTCTCCTTTTCAATTCTAGGAGCTTTGGGAAAGCTATCAAATGTGTTTGTCAAAGCAGAATCATCGCACTCCAAAGATCAAGATAGCAGCAATGAATCCAGAGACCCTCAACAGAAAACTAGGCGTGTAGAAGAGTTCTATGAAGAACTGCCTATTGCAAAAGAAATTGCTGTGAATAATTCAGTAACTGTTTCTGTAAGGAAGTGTCCTGAGACTGCTAAGAATCTTCTATGCTTAGAAACAGATTTGCCTGATCATGTTGTTGTTCACTGGGGAGTTTGTAGAGATGATACTAAAAGATGGGAAATTCCAGCTGCCCCACACCCACCAGAAACAGTAGTATTCAAGGACAAGGCTTTGCGGACTCGATTACAGGTTTCTATGACCTTTTCTTTTCTTTTCTATTCCCTCCCCTTTCTTGTGCGATTATTTCTTGATGGCTTTGCTATTGGCTTTTTTTTTGTTTTTTGTTTTTGTTGGTAATATAACATTGAATATATATATACCGCTTTTAGATATTATCACAATGTTACTATTCTAATTACGGGATCACTGTTAATTTCTTTCTGTTTTTTTTTTTAAAATTTTAGATTTTTGCTCAAAGAAACAATTTCGAATACTTTTGCAGGACAACATAATAACTGGAGATCAAGGAGTTGAGTGCGAGTTTGTGCTCACTTGATCATGCACAAATATGTACCTTTTAAATTTCTACTTAAATTACTAATTAGGTCATCATCTTTGAAGATCATGAAACTCATGCTACATTGTTAGTTTTAGATAACTCTTCAGGCATACAAATACCTTTGTGTTGGTTGGAGCATGATTTTGAACAATGGAGACATGGGATTGTTTTTGAGAGCATTTATATGATCAAAACCCAATCTGAAGATTTTGTTAGCAGTTCAGTGCACACGTACTTGGTGTACATTATTTAGATGATAGAGAAATGGTGAATGCATATAAGTTCTGGCCATAATCATCTTCATGCTTGCAATTGTTTGGTTAATCATTAATCTTAAATTTACTGTCATTATACTATATGTTCTTCTCCAGAAAAAAACACCTTTAAAATCAAGGTTTCCTAGTTGTGTTGTGCCTACTTGAGAAATTTTCAATTAAGCTGATCAATAATGGATTATTTTCTTGATCAATTTTGTTATTTTCATGGGTATCCTTTTTTTGTTTGGTCGAATTCTCATGGGTATCCTGTGTGCAGCAAAAAGAGGGTGGAAAAGGATGTTGGGCATTGTTTACTTTGGAAGAAGGACTCGCAGGATTTCTTTTTGTTTTCAAACTAAATGAAAGTATGTGGTTGAAATGTGCGGGCAATGACTTCTACATCCCTCTGTCCAGCTCAAATCACTCAATTGCTCTACCAAGAGAGGTTCCATCTGAAGATGCAAAGGTACCTGACAGTAGTACAGAAGCAGTTGAAGAAAAAAAATTTACTGCATATACCAATGGAATAATAAATGAAATAAGGAACTTGGTGAGTGACATTTCCCTTGAGAAGAATCAAAAGACAAAGTCCAAAGAAGCACAAGAAAGCATTCTTCAAGAAATAGAAAAATTGGCTTCCGAAGCCTATAGTATCTTCCGAAGCACTGTTCCAACTTTCACAGAGGAAGCAATTTCAGAGACTGAAGAATTGAAAGCCCCCGCCAAAATATGCTCAGGGACAGGCACAGGTTTTGAAATATTGTGCCAAGGTTTTAACTGGGAATCTCATAAATCTGGAAGATGGTACATGGAACTCCAAAGTAAAGCTGCAGAATTATCTTCACTAGGTTTCACTGTGATTTGGTTACCACCCCCTACAGACTCTGTGTCACCTGAAGGGTACATGCCGAAGGATTTATATAATCTGAACTCCAGGTACCATATCTTAAATTCATAATACACATAATAATTTTGTCATGGTCTTCATACTTCATTCCAAATAATTGAGCTAGCTCTGTAATGCTTTCACTTTGATTACTATTTTCACTTGTGTTTTTCAAAAATTTATAACTATTTTTGTAACATCTCTTGAAAAAAAAAAGATAGTTTGGCATACCTCTGCTTGCTTGGTTTATGCACATTCTGATCAACATACCAATCACTTGTTGAACCTTAAGGTTTCATTCTTTATCGTTTATGGGAATGGTAGTAAATTTCCTTTTATTTGGTTCAGAGGGTTACTTTTCTTTTCTAGTCTTCATATTGAACTTTCATATAAGAGATGCTAGTTAGTATCATTGTATAGAGTATACTGTAAAAACTAAAAAGTACTGATTGCTGCTGTCTCATACTTCTCAGATATGGAAATATTGACGAACTGAAGGAGACTGTGAGGACATTCCATAAAGTCGGTATAAAAGTTCTTGGAGATGCTGTGCTGAACCACCGTTGTGCAGATTATCAGAATGAAAATGGTATTTGGAATATCTTTGGTGGTCGTTTAAATTGGGATGCTCGTGCAGTTGTTGCCGACGATCCACATTTTCAGGTATTTATTTTTTCTTCCACATTTTCAGTTCTTTAATTTTCTGTGTCCGTCTTAATTTGATTTCTAGAATGTTCATGGGTATGCTCAGAAAGAGACATGATATTTAGTTTATTTCATGTGCTCACGTGTGTACATCTGATACTGTAGTTTATGAACTTGTTAGCATGTGATGCTGCAGTTTATTTCATGTGCACAGATGTGCTCGTGTGATACGGTAGAATATGACCTTGCTAGCATGTGACAATCATACAAAGTAACCTGAAATTTGTTTCTGGAATGTTCACGGTGCTCAGCATTACAGGGGACAAACATAGTGCATTTATGGTCCAAATCGACCAAACGGTGACCCTAAATTCGTGTTTGATTTCAATAATATGAATAATGAAAAGAACTCTTTACTGGAACATGTTACCTGTTCTTTAGACTATCTTCTTCCGTCCCCCTTTCTTCACATGTATAGTTAAAAAACTGATTGTCTAGGTCTGTTCATTTTATGGTTGATTGGATACTAATTTTGGAAAGTATTTTGTAATCTCTATAGGTTACTAAAAGTAATATAGAATAAATGTGATATGTAGGAAGAAGAAATTATATTACTTATAGATTTGTATTAGACTACTTTTGTTGAAGGGGTAAAAAGTGTGAACCTTGCAGCTTATGGAATTGCCTTCGTATGTCTATCATATGTGCAGAGTGTATGTTTATATGCCGAAGTTTGCCTAGTACGTTATCTTGGTGACATTTTGTATGCGGTATGTTTTGAGATTGGTGAAAATGCCTTCTTTCTGTTATACAGGGCAGGGGCAATAAAAGTAGTGGGGAGTGTTTTCATGCTGCTCCAAACATTGATCATTCACAAGATTTTGTGAGGAAGGATATCAAAGAATGGTTACACTGGCTAAGGTTAATAGTCTGGACTATTTACTCCATTTCCTAAGATGTTCTTATTATTTGAGAATTCAACTTAAGATTTGTATCACACTATCACTAAACACAAATACTGTATGTAAAAGAGAAATGCACATCCTAGAAACTAAAAAGTAGATCCTGAAGCTAGATCATCTCTCTGTTATAGGACGTGTGTTAGTTCGGGCACATTCACATGCTAGATCATAGACTTGAGTTATTGTGCTATGGAAATTAGAGTAGAGGTCTAGTACCTTCAAGGGGTGTCTCATAGCATTTCTCAGGATTTTCCATAGAGTAAGTCCTAGTTGCCACCTAGCCTTGAGACCCTTTGTTCTTTTGAGAAATAAATGTACTGATGTCTTCTTGAGTGGGTTCATGGTCTTTTGAGTTTAAAGGCAGTCTGTTAAAGGTTTCATTGATGGTATAAACTTACATTGTTTTTATTTTGACGAGAAAAATGTAGTATACTTTTACTGGTTGTCTTTTCTTTCCATGGGGCCATTTTATGCTTTCTAGTGAATTGCTTCTAATTTGGGTTTTCCAACAAGCAATTGGTTCTTTTCATACTTCTCCTTTTCTTGAATTGAATATTTCAAGAGTTCTTGAGATGAGGTTGTCTCACACATTTCTTATACATATGCTGACGTACAATATCAGTTTGGCCTTCACATTTAATATTTATGGACGTTCCTTCAAAAATTATGGACTTGTTATATTTTATCGTATTGAAGTGCATTTCCCTTATGCTGCATATGTTGAAAGTTTACTCTATCATTTTGATGTAAACGTATGAGTGACTGTCACAGGGAAGAAATTGGGTATGACGGATGGAGGCTTGATTTTGTTAGAGGATTTTGGGGTGGTTATGTCAAGGACTACATAGATTCTACTGAGCCCTACTTTGCTGTAGGCGAGTATTGGGATTCCCTATGTTATACATATGGTGAAATGGATCACAATCAAGATGCACACAGGCAGAGAATTGTTGATTGGATCAATGCTACTAATGGAACTGCTGGTGCATTTGATGTCACAACAAAAGGGATTCTCCATGCAGTAAGTGTTCATCTTTGTAATTTTAAATTGCAACTGCCAATTTTGTACTCAATTGGTCCCTATAGTACACCACAGTGGTATCAGATGGGCTTGTATTGATTCATAGGTTTATGTTAATTTTATTTTTCTTCATACTATAGTGTTGACTTGTGTGTTGAATTTTAGCATCCATTTAGTAGGTGCCGCATTATCAGGCATTATAGTAAAATATTGCTTATAGTTTTTGGCAGAATTCTGGTTGTTCCATAAGAAGCAGTATCACCTAGTGGCAAACCATGTTTCTAAATCAAAGAAAAAGGGCTTTTGAGAGTGCACACCCTACTTAGAAAGGACCTAGTTTGCACCTCAAGTGTTGGCCTAAAGTTAGCATTTTAAGTGGTACATAATACTCAAATGCGTATATGTGATATGATCAACTATATTAGCTTGTTTTCCTTTTATAATCTGATTTTGTTCGATGTCCAGTCAAGAGGTTCAGTAACTGTTCTGAAGAATGATATGCTTTTGGATACACTAGCCATTGTCTATAAACCATAGTTATTTGCTTTCCATGTTTGTATGATACTTTTGTTCACATAGAATATATTTTGTAGGCACTGGAAAGATGCGAGTATTGGCGATTATCAGATCAGAAGGGAAAGCCTCCAGGGGTTCTTGGATGGTGGCCATCTCGTGCTGTCACTTTCATAGAGAATCACGATACTGGTTCTACTCAGGTTTGAACTTCTTTGATCTTGAATCCCCTGTTATTTTCTAGCCAAGAAGAATATTGATCTGTCCCTATCGGGCAGCTGAGGGTAAAATCCACCTACATCCAACAGCCCGTATCAGATTCAAGCTTGGGTAGGACATTGTTCTAAATTTTACCTTTTAACATGATACAATCCAATTGAGAATGAAGGCATTTTCCTACACTGAATTGTTTTCCTTAAATAAGGGGCAACGTTTATTTGTAGACGACATTCATGAGAAATCCTGTAGATGATTTCAAATTTTGTTGTCGTTTTAAGACCTCTTTGCTAGAAAACTTAAAGTTCACTACCTGGGTTTGAAATGGGCCCTTCCATATGAGCTCTTCCCAAGTGATGGAATTGGTCTCTTTTACATTCTGGATGGATCACCATATATCTTGAGTTATCTCTTGCTCCTCCAACCTTCTTTTCAGGAATTCAGATAAGTGGAGAGCAGAGAGTAGTGTTTGGACCTTTCTATAGTGTAATCGTTACTTTTGATATTTTAGGAGTAACCAGCTACAAATTTTTACTTTCATTCTTTCCTTTTGAAGGGTCATTGGAGGTTTCCTCAAAATAAAGAAATGCAAGGATATGCTTACATTCTGACTCATCCAGGAACACCGACAGTTTTCTATGACCACATTTTCTCTCACTACCATTCTGAAATTAAAGCTCTACTCTCTCTGAGAAACCGGAACAAGCTTAACTGTCGGAGTAGAGTAAGTATCAATAACCAAGTTGTAGGCTTCATTCACTATCAAACTAGATGTCTGTTTCCGTTCTTCTGTGGAACATATTATCAAAGCATCGATTTGATTTTTCATTTTACAATATAGGTTAAAATTACCAAGGCAGAAAGAGACGTGTATGCGGCCATTGTTGATGAAAAAGTTGCCGTAAAAATCGGACCAGGTCACTATGAACCCCCAAGTGGACCTCAAACATGGTCTAAAAGTGCGGAGGGCAAAGACTACAAGGTCTGGGAAGCATCATAACTTTGTCCACAACGATATTATGTAGCTATGAGTATATAAAAGTTGATTGCAGGATGATTCAATAAGTTCGTTCCCATATTTTACATCTAAGCAAATCAAAGGGTGCCAAGATAGAATAATATGTACTTCTCTCTGGAGGTCTGGCTGAGAACCTTGAATTGAAGTTTTCTTGCCATGCATTTCCGGAGTTCAAGGGATTGCTCAAGAGACGATCGGAAAGACCTGCTTTCAGCAATAGAAAATTGCAGCCAGTCGGCTAGGTGTAGAAGTGGTGAGCATGTTTTAGGTTCAAAAGGGCAGTGTTTCCATCATTACACTATTGATATTTATTGTGATTCCTTCTATGCAAAAACATGTTCTGGTGTATATTCCATTAATGTGTAAACAAGTTATTGTTCATTGATTAATTAATAAAGCAATGTTTTTAACTAAAAATGTTTTAATTGCATGGAGCTTGTAGCTCAAGAGGTTAAGAGTATTTACTCATGTTCATGAGGTCTTAGGTTTGATTCCCTCCTCCCCAATATCGCTTGTATATAAAATATTTTAAAAAACTCATAATGTTTTAATTAGTGCATCACAAAAATAACTTTTTTTAGTAATGGAAACATAATGACACGTGGGATAACTTCCTCGTGTCATTGTGTTATTGGTTCCCCGTGTCATTGTGTTATTGGCCGGGGATACCAAAAAGTGCTATCCTCATTGCATGAGTCTCTCTCCATGGACACTGAGCCGATTATAGCAGTTTTATTTAAGCTTATTTATTGTAGTATTCCTTGAAACTTCAGTCAAATCTCATTTTACCCCTTCTACCCCAAAGTTAAAGTGGCCCACTTAACCCTTTTGACTGCGGTTTTGTATTTCACTTTACCCCCACCATTAACGCTATTCAAAAGATAGTAAAAAATGCTGACGTGATGGTAAAAGCACACATAGTGGCCAATTGCTGAGCATAAGACAAAGTGGACCCCACATGCTTTTAAAATTGAAATCTAAGTAGCTGAGTTTGTAGATTTGCCAAAGTCGAACAAATTTGGGGATTAGGGTTTGGAGTGTATAAAGAGAGAGAGAGAGAGAGAGAGAGAGAGAGAGGAGCGAATATTGCAAAAGAATCAAAGCAAAAGAATCGAAATCTTGGGTGAAGTGTGTATATTGGAGAGACTGAAGAAGACAATGAATCAAAGCAAAAGAATCGAAATCTTGGGTGAAGTGCGTATATTGGAGAGACTGAAGAAGACAATGACGGTACCGAGAGAAAAAGGAGGTTCTCAACGCAAGTACAGTAAGTGGCCCTTCACTTCTGACATGGAATCGATGAAAGCGAGAGACTTACAAAGTGTGGTCCAGGTTTAAGCTTCTTTATTGTCTGCTTGCTTTGTTGGGTCTGGTCCAAAGGCGTTGAGTTTGAAAAGTCTGGAATTAAATATTGTTGTGGTCCCCTATGTCTTGATGTCATGTTTTCCTATTTACTAGTTGTTTAAAGGTTCATTTAGTGCTTTAAAAATATTAGTGTGTGTGTGAATGTTGCTCTATCTCTGTTTACTAGTAATTTGGTTGTTGTGTTCTCCTTTTTAAACTGTACTTATGACTAGGCAGTGGTTAAAGTGTGTTTTTTAATGTTCCATTCTGCATATGACAAAGGAATAATCACATTTGAAGTACACCATGGAGGTAGAATGATAAAGTCCCCAAACCTCAACGAGTGGTGGTTTTATGTGTGGGAGGAGAATGGGGCCCCAGGGGAGGGGGTGGGGAGGTAGGGGTCTGTTGATTATTTGGATTAGTGTCTTGTGAATTACATAAATTTGTTAGAGATATATGGGTATGCAAAATGGTAAGAAAGTGTGTATAGCCAATGATGCTAAGCTACTTTAATGGTGTCATTTGGTGCCTCATAGACTTGAAAGAGTGACTGTAATTTACTTGGAACACCCCACTGTTATTAATGTGGATGAAACTACAGTGGCTTAGAGGGAAAATGGGTCCTAGTTGTTAGATATATGCCCCAGAAGCCAGTATAAAAATGAAATATTCTAAGGATATAATATAATTAATATAATCAAAGGGGTGTGAATGTTACTCTAAGATACATAATGTACACAAAGAAACAAGTCCATGGATAAAGATATAAATGCAAAGCAGTCTAAAGTAGTTAGATTCATGAAACCTTTCCATCATAGAAGTATTGTATCCTAAAAGGTTCCTGGTCATAGGACCACCAATTGGACAATGGTGAACCACAAAGACTGGTACATGCTATTTCTGCTCAAATAGGAGGATGACTAGTCTCAAGTCATTCGTGTAAAGACACTGAGACATGTGTGTAGGTGCTCTATAGAGATGGAGTTCACTAAATGCGATCAACTCAAGAATTCTTGTATGAAAGTCTTACTCACAAGTGTCAAACAAAGAATTCTAAAGTGTGATAATGCAAATTAGTCCTTAGACCTGAGACATCATAGTTGTCTTGTGTATGAGCTATTTGTTTTTTAGAACACTATACAGTCGTATCATAAGGATGTGACTTAAAGGTGTTCTTGAGGATACTCAGCATAGGCACAAAGGCATGTAAATGTATAACAAGAAATCTCTACTCTTAGTAAGAAGAGAGAATACTCTAAAGATATGATTCGTTGAATCTTTAGCCAAAGTACAATATGAGAATTGAAACAAGAACGTTTGCAATTAAATCCAAGTGAATCATATAACCTAGAGATGTCATGTTAGTGATTTGACACGAGTTAAACATATACCAACAACAACAAGACATAGAGTATTGCATTGTTCTCAAAATGAATTCTATTTAGCTTGGGTAGTCGTGACATACTGCTAGGTGTCACTCATGGTTTGTGGAAGCTCTGTAAGGACTAATTACAATTAGCTTTTGCCAATTAGAAGAATTGTATGGAGGATACAATTTACATTCGGTTTAGAAGTAATCATCTTCCCCATAGCCTCACTAATAAGAACCTATAAGGTCGCACACCAAAAAAGTATGGATCGAGAATTGAAAAGAGAATAAATGATTTTGCGGCTTGATCAAAGTCAAGGTCAAAAGTCAAAGTTAAAGGTTAAACCATTGACTCGAGACTTGACGTGGTCAACACAATGTTGACTAGGACCAATGCTTGTTAGACAAGTTAGTGATCTAATTAGTTAAATCATTAAATCAATTAAACTAATTAGATTAGCTTAATGAATTAATTAAAGTTTTGGTCCTATATGACTTAAACATTTATAGGAAAATGGACCTTACAGACTTAGGAAAAGTGTGACACATTATAAGATTAATGTGATAGATCAAAGTAGCCCAAAAGGGCCAAGGAAGAGGAGGGTGCGGTACATGGGGTCTTTAAGGGCACATGTGTGACAATATGTCTCTATATAATCATAGTCATAGCACAACACCTCCTTAGGGTTTCAAGTTAGGCATTTAGGAAGAGAGGAAAACATCAAACCTCCTCCTTATCCTCCCTTGGCCGGCCACCATAAAGGAAGTAAAGGCTAGCACCCATTTTCTCCTCTTGGTTTCTTATTCTCCTATTCTCATTCTACCTTGGTGAAGATACTTTGGATAGGCATAACCTCATTGTGCCTATTTGGAGAACAAGGTGGAGAATCAACAACTAAGGGACCATTCCCTTTACTTGAATACTATCCTTGGATTCAAGATTCGCTCCAAGGGTAATTAAGCTCACTTCCTACATTCTCTTTAATATGTGATATTAGTGTCAAAGGTGCAAACTTTCATAGACCTATAAAGATTGGGACATAAGTTGAGATTTGCATGAATCTCTAGCTATTTTCTTGCTTCCGTTTGATTTGATTTCATATTTTATATGCATAGGCTAGATGATTTGTTCTCTCATATATTCATGTGATTTTAGAAATCCCTACACCTAATTTTCCCTTCACTATTGCAAGAAACCTAACTGCTGAATTTGAACAAGAAGATAAGTGTGATGAACAATCTGGTTATGAGGGTATGTATAAGGAGGATAAGGATGATGAAGAGGCTATAAATTGTTCGGTTCATTTTTACACATGATTTATCATGTTATTCACCCATTATTTTGAGTTAGTTCTTGACATTTTATAGCTTTTTACTTTCTTTTTGTGTTTTCATAGATTTTACCTTGGTCAGAATGAAAATGAGCTAAAAGTGCATTATTGGTTATAAATTATGTTTTTGTTCATTTTCGTAGGTCAACTTCTTGGCCTTGGATCAGCATGCTCCGATACTCGGATGAGGTGAAGATCTTCATGAAACTTGTTTCAATGGATGTTGACTATAACATATCCAAATTTGAGCTTCATTGGACAAGTGTAGCCTATCCAACTAATCCAACAATTGATTCTGGCTCTGGAAATTTGTCTTGGGCCAGTTTTACCTCCATAATGTTATGTTGATTCTTCTTGTTACCATACCATTTGGTAACAAGAAATTACTTTGATTGAGTGTAATTTCTGAGACAAAGAGCATCTTTGTGAAGACAAAAACTCATCATGGCAAGGAGACAAGGAGGAAACAAAGTCAAAAGTACCATGATGAAAGGAGGAGAGAGATGAGAGCATAGAGCTTTAGGCAATTGACTTGGGCAGATTGTAAGAAGGAGGAACGTATCATTCATTCAGAATTTGGTAGAGATTTTGAGAGCTAGAGAGAGCTAGAAGGAGGAGAGCAAGGAGCAACCAAGGAGGGGGGAGAATGGCATAACAATTGGAGAGAACCTTGGGGAGCCTTGAGGCAAGGATCCAAGGGGTTGAAGATGCAATTCTCTTTCCCCTCTTTGTTCTTAGTTTCGTTCATTTTATTTGTTTATTGTATTTTCTTAGTTTGGGGAGAATGGCATAACAATTGGAGAGAACCTTGGGGAGCCTTGAGGCAAGGATCCAAGGGGTTGAAGATGCAATTCTCTTTCCCCTCTTTGTTCTTAGTTTCTTTCATTTTATTTGTTTATTGTATTTTCTTAGTTTCAATGTAACTTCTTAATTTTCTAGGGCTTTGGTTGAAGCCCTAAACATGATTACTCCATTGTTTTGATCCTTTGAGTTTATGAAATTTTAGATGTTGTTGATGGATCCCTTTCACTAATTGAATCCTATGATATGTGTTGCTTCCTTTGATTGATCACCTTAGGTTGTATGCATGTAGCTAAAGTTGAGAAGTTGTGTAAGATACCCAAGAACATAATTTCTAATTAGCAACAAATGATAGAACTTGTAGGAAAAGTGAACATCATGTGAATTGGTTTCTTGACAACAATTGATGAATTCCTATTCACCAAAATAATCTATCCTTGATGTATGTTTTTCCTTGGTTGGCCATCTTTGAAA